ATCCCAAGTGTGTATTCAAACAATTACGTTGAAAATGTTGCCTGTAAATACTAGTAAAGGAATATTTTATGGTATGCAGCAAAAAAATTAAAAATAATAATAATACTTCCCATGTCCCTTCTCTTTTTAATATACAACCACATGAAAACACACTTTAAATTTATATTACTTATCAAGAACAAAGTAGAATAACAAATACAGAAAAATATAGTGTATAATGCATACCTTCCAACATTCCAAATGGATATAGAGAGACACTTTAATTTTAGTTCTGAAAAATTGTAGATTACGTACTAATAACAATTTATGCAATAACAATGTAATTTAGAAGAGCAAATATGTATCTAATTTACACAGACTGATTTCTAAACACATGTATTGTAGTTTAAATACACATGACATGAGCATAGTCAAGCCTTTTGGGCATATTTTCCAAACCTTACCTTAAACCCCCCAATAAGACACGGACACAGATTTAAAGTTGATAAAACTTTGCCACAGCTTCATTAAATTATAAATATGATAAATATATAAATAATAATTTGGGTCATTACCAAACATTCCCAAGTTCACATAATACGTACTTTCCACAATTTTAACAGTACTAGACCCACCGGCAATGACCCATAACATATCAACAAATAACCATACATAATTAACATAACCAACATGTCCACAACAGGCCTCATCCAATTGAGTTTCGTAGTAGGGGCATACGAGACACCACTACCTCACCAGGTTGAGAACCACCTCCGGGTTCCAACCTACCAATTTAGATAGTAGGGGCATACCGCCGACACCCTTACCCCACCAGACTGAGAACCACCTACGGGTTCCAACCTACCAATTTAGATAGTAGGGGCATACCGCTGACACCCCTACCCCACCAGGCTGAGAACCACCTGCAGGTTCCAACCTACCAATTTTGCTTGCAGGGGCATACCGAGATACCCCTACACCACCAGGTTGAGAACCACCTAGCAAATACCAAATTCAACCATGTAAACGTTGTTAACCAATCAAACATCCAGCTAGCAAAACTACCTAGCCTCCAATATCTTCTGCCACAGCTCACGGCTTGACCCCTAATGCCACCTGAACGCCCCTCCCCCATATAAACAAAGCACGCTGCAGACCTTCCTGAAAACCCAAATTAAGGAAATCGTTACCGGCTTCGGAAAGGTGCACCCCATCATGCCGAAAGTAACCAGGGAGCCTAGCTTCCAGATCTACATGCCGCACAACAACTCCCCCTATATGTCTAACGAAAATGGACAACCGCTTATTACCAAATCAAAATTACCCCTGGCACCAGGGCCCTCAACCTGTCGAAGTCCTGCTTCATACGGTGCACCAACTCCCTCTGGGGCACCCGCCCCAAGTCATTACCCCCTGCATGAAGCAGCAGAAAATCCGGTGACTGCCCTGAACCCAAACACCTGACAATTTCTGAGCAGACTTCTGTCCAGCAAAAACCCCTATAGCCAAACCACAATAACTTGACCACGCGCTTTGGAAAGCCCAGCTGTTCTCCTTGGGGTCGAACTACAGCTCTCTTGTGCGCCCAACGCATGAATGAGTGGCCCACCAACCAGGCGACCCAACCTACGGAAGAAAAGAAACATGTTAACCACATGTAACCACAACACATAACATCAATCACTGTACCATTTACATTCAAAGTTCTTTTTTTTTTTTATATACAGTCTAACCTTACATATTACCGGAACCTGACAGACTCCCACCGTCCAATCGGCTTAACCAACTCGTCACCAAGGCCCAACCTGGCTGCTTCCGTAGCAGCCCCAATTCTAAACGAATGTGTACCAAACTGCAGAGGTTCCAACCGCAACTGACCCAGGCCCAACCTAAAAACCCTGAAAAACTGGTATTTCGATAATGATGACCCATCCTCATGCATGAGAAAGGAGCAAGTCCCCCTTGTGCGGGCCAGCACATATGCGGTTGCACAGGCAACCGGAAACAACGGCGACCCTGGCAACTCATAAAGAGTGACAAAGCACCCTTTACCAAAAACATCAGTTTTTGAGCGCCTCAAGTTGATGACAATGCAATGCTGATGCACGTCGACATCTTCCACCTGAATTCCTCCATCACCCGCTCGACAACCACTCACTAACTCACTGACCTGGAACGCCCCAAAGAATGCCAAAACAAACGCAAGCGAAAATAAAAGCACTTCATGGCGGGAGTAACAGAGGCCCAGGAGCACCCCTACCAACTGCAGCAGAATCCCCATCGACACCGGCCTCCTGGGGTCTGGTGTCCTCCGACCTCTCCGAAAGCCCTTTAACGCTTGGCGAATAACAAAACTCTTAGTGATATCCTGCCAGCCATTCAACTTAAACAGAAACGCCAAGGCAGCCATGTGCCTATCCACCATGGAAGGAGAGGCCCCAGTTGCAAATAACCTGCACAAATATCACAACAGTGTATCCACCCGTACCTCTGTGGAAAGATGGCCACCTGCGCATACGCACACCTCCTCCCAAGCACTCCAGACCTTAACATAAGTCTTCCAAGTACTCGGGGCTAACAATTCCTTAATCAGGCATCCAAGCATGAGGTCCCTAGCTGCCACATGTCGTCCGGACAGACCATACCCTCCAACTGAGCCCTCAGCGTTGCCGCGCGGAATTTCTCCCACTGCAAACGAGACAGCGCGTCAGCGACAACATTCAAGAAACCGGGCACATAACGTGCTTTATAAACAATGTTAAATTTCAAGCAAAACAACACAAAACGCTGCAACAAGCGAATAACCGGAATAGAAGAGGCTGAAAATTGATTAATCGCGGACACGACCGCCATGTTGTCCGAAATGAAGACCACTTTCTTATCCCGTAACCAAGGGCCCCATAATGCCAACGCAACTACCAAGGAAAACAATTCCAAAAATGCCAGATTACGAATTATGGGGTCTGCCTTCCATTCTTCCGGCCACGGTTCCGCACACCATTGTCCCGCAAAATAAGCCCCAAACCCCACAATCCCTGAAGTGTCTGTAAAGAGTTCCAATTGCTTAGCTTGAACTGTGGGCTCCAGGAAAAAGACTCTGCCATTAAAGTCCCTCAAGAACACATCCCACACTGCCAAATCCTCCCTCATCGGGATCGAAACACTAATAAAATGATGAGGGGAACTAACCCCAGACATCGCCTTTGCTAAAAACCTATTGAAAACCCGCCCTACCGGCACAATGCGACAAGCAAAGTTCAAACGCCCGAGCAAGGATTGCAGCAATCTCAACATCATCTTACGCGCTGCCCTAACATCCCGGACAGCCTGACGTAATGCCACCAATTTATCTTCCTGCAAGCGACATTCCCCTGCCACCGAATCTATTTCCAAACCCAAGAAACTGAGACATGAAGTCGGTCCCACCGTTTTGTCAGCCGCCAAAGGGACCCCAAACACGTGGGCAACCCATTCCAGAGTTCGCAACCATACGTGACAGGCCTCTGAACCGGCAGGACCGACACAGAGGAAGTCATCCATATAATGAACTATAAACTTGCTACCCAACTCCACCTTAACTACCCATTCCAGGAAAGTACTAAACTTCTCAAAATACACACATGAGATGGAACATCCCATGGGCAAACAAAGGTCAATGAAGTACTCCCCGTCAAAACAACAACCTAACAGGTGATGACAGTCTGGATGAATGGGTTACAGACGGAAAGCAGATTCCACATCAGCTTTCACCATTAACGTGTATGTCTGTGGGTGCTGTGTGTGTCTGTGGGTGCTGTATGTGTGTAGGTGCTGTGTATGTCTGTGGGTGCTGTGTATGTCTGTGTGTGCTGTATGTGTGTTGGTGCTGTGTATGTCTGTGGGTGCTGTGTGTGTGTGTGTGTGTGTGTGTGTGCTGTATGTGTGTATGTGATTGTGAGGGTTGGAGGTGGGGGTATATTATTTGATATCCCCCCTCCCTTCTTACCTTTTGTAGGGAGGGGGGATCCTTGTTGCTGCTGCTTCCATCCCTGGTGGTCCAGTGGAGAGTGAACTCTAGCCCCTGTGGGGCTAGAGCTCACTCTCGCGAGATTTGAGCATTGCCGTGACAACGCTCATACCTCGCGAGAGGAACCCGGCAGAGCTACCGACAATAGCTCCGCCGGTCCTCTTCTGCCTCCCTCCCTGCCTGTGGGTCAGTGGGGAGGGAGGCTGAGAGCAGAGCCCGCACTCGGATAGCGCCGGCTCTGCATGAGCCGACAGGGGAGATCCTGTGATCTCCCCTGCCGGTCTCAATATACATAGGCGTGCCGCGGGATTAGGGTGTGCCCAGGCACACCCAGCACACCCCATGCGCACGCCTATGCACCAATAGCAAAGAACACAAATAGAAAAAATACAACATATACAGTGAGACACCAGCCAATCCCCATCCAAGTCCAAGTATAATAGCAAGCACCGCCTCTAAAGCTTCCTCTTTCTCTGCTGCTCCAGAGTCAAGATAAGTACTAATATTTCTACTCTTAGCAGTATCTGTTTTTCATTGCCTGTATCTACTTTGGTTATTTCTTATTTGCTTATAATCTTGTTTTTCTAGTTTATTAATATGGTTTTATATGGTTTTTGCTTCATTTTATATATCTTTGAGCCAGGGCCGGACTGGCCCACCGGGATACCGGTAAATTTGGGGCCGGCCCTTTAAATACTGCAGCCGCCTGAGCACTCTGTTAAGAGCCTCAGGCGGCTGCAGTTTCTCCCCTCCCCTCCCCTCCCCTCCCCTGTAGCGTGGCCGAGCTGCACTCCGGTCCGCGGTGGCCGGCCGGCCGGCCGGAGTAATAGGAAGGTGCACACT